CTTTCTTGGGGACCTCAGCATTGCCTTTGGAAAGCACTAGAACCATAACTCTTTATAAAAGGTCCTCGGATTCTCTCTTTTGCCCCCTCTCTCCTTTTCTTCCTTCCTCCTGCCTCCCTCCCTCCTTTCATCCCTTTATCTCCTTTTGGGTTTAAGGCAGAGAGACACAGTAAACCCACTTATAAAATAGCTGGTTATTACTAAATAATATGATCACATTATGATACCCTAGTGACATCATCCTCTCCCCTCTCCAAATACTTAATACCCTGCAATGTTTGCAAATATGTCAACCAATAGTATTCCACAATGGCTTCTATATGTAGGTATGATTATGGGCACTATGACTTATTGGATAGTTTAATTTGCAAAAGGTACCATTGACTGCTTTTGCCATGCTTCAGGATGAGCTAGAAGACTGACTGCTACAAACGTCAGGAAAATGTTAAAATAAGGAAAAGAAAAGAAAAAACCCTCATCTCCATGAGCTGTGATCAACTTTCAGATTTACAAAGAGAATCGGCTGGTACGTTACACAGAAGCTTCACATATTTCTAGGCTTATGAACTATCTATTATCTGAAAGTCGTGGAAGTCAGTTAAGACTGCCACCTATCACAGATCTGTCATCACTCTCATCTCTAGGAGTTCAGGAAACTATCGAGAGAGAATATCATCACCATCATCTTTATCATCTTCTCATTACTTTCAGCTATCTGATCATCTGACTTAGGAGAATGTTGCCTGATGCTGACATTAATTTATATGTGACTTAAGTAGAAAGACACAAGCCTGAGTAGATCACCATTAACAAATCCTTTGTACCTGATATGACTATACAAATCACCTCAGTTATTCAAACTATAAAACAAGTTATCACGATGTCTTCACATGAATGATTTCTGCTCTGGCTGAGATGTCTAAAACACCTATTCACATTTGAACATGCTTCTGCATTTTCATAGTTTATATTGGAATGGCTGTCTAAGACAACACTGTCAGCATGGTAGTTCAAGTGCTTTATTTTAACAGCTTCAACTTTCAACTGAATGCTTTAAGATGGAAAAACAACCAATCCAATGCCGATAATCTATCCTTATCCAGAAGCTTAAAATAGAGCAGGAGGTGTAACTCCTATGGGGACTCAAAGAACAAATGCCACCACGAGATCGTCTTGTGTATCTTACACAGCTGTATCTTTCTTTTGAAACCTTTTTACATCACAGATACAGCAAGCAGAGTACTTTTCTAGATTAATCTTCTAAACTCCCAACGGTCTAACTGAGCCTTCAAATTCACACCACAATCCATGCTACAATACAGACCCAAGGCAACGTACACCTTAATCTATATTTCTGAAGAACCTGACCAAGCTGAAGCCGGCTTGATATTGATAAGAAACACATACAAACATCACGGTGGAGTGATAAAATTCACCCTATTAGACAGGAGAGTGTTTCTCAGTTCATGCAATAAAATCCTAATATGGCTACATCTCTAATTCCAAGAAAGCTCAGAAATACTCAACTGGGATGCTGATGTAAACAAAAAGAAAAAAAGAAAGGAATAGTCTAAAAGGGTAAGGATTACCACCCATGACCGGAATGTCATAAACAACTTTGATATAGAAGAATATGCACTCTGATGCATACTATATTGGGAGAAAAGGGGAGACTTCTGCTGAAAATGAATTGATTGTTTCCTGCTTTATGCGGTGTTCCTTTAAAAAAAAAAGAAAGAAAAGAAAAAAAAGAGAAAAAAAAGCTCAAATTAGGTCCAAGAGATTTTCATTCTGAGAAGTGTGATGCTAAAACTTTCAGGAACCCCGTCACACTTGTTTGGAAACAAATGACTTTTCAGGACAGAGAAGTCTCGCTATCAATCACCAGCAGGTTAATTCTACATAATAAGGCAGGTTTGGATGCAAACTGATCCGATGTGGAATACTGTATCTAAAATTGATTACAACAGCACTCAAAATGAATCCAGCCCTCCAAACTGCTTCTTTGCTCTGAAACATTAATCTCAATTAGAAGGAGTGCTTCATAATGGTAATGCTTGGTATAAAAAAAGGTATAAGATAAATCAGGTTTTATAAGACACAACAATTAATCAGTTTTCAGTCTAAGTCATTTGTTCTACCTTTTTTTTTTTTTTTTTTGAGGCACGAAATTTCCATTAGGACTCTTAAAACAGCTGGTATCTCCAAAATTAGGTTTTAAATGTGTTCTAAAAGAAGCTTACAAGAAATCATTTTTCAAACTTGGTTGTTATAAACTTTGAAATGGTGTTGTTATCAGTGTACCAGATCTTCAGGGCAAGGCTTCCTTCTGCAAGTGTGAGTTAAATTCTTCTCTGGACTGTCACCTCCTACTTTATAAAGCAAAGAGGAAGGCAGACTTCAACTGAAAACCCAGAGGAGCTATAACCAATTGCAGATTACAATCAAAAAGTTGCAACTCGTAACATTTTCTACCTATTTAAAAAAAAAAAAAGCATTTCTCAGAGTTGGATCAGACGTCTGACTTCCAAAGGCAACCCTGAGTGGAGGGGCTGCACGTAAGACAGACTGCTTAATAGTTCTCCCCAGCCAAGCTTCAACAAAGGAGCAGACAATTCAAACTGCTCCTGAATACCCTGCTTCACACACAAATAGTACCTCCGTGACACTCTCCTACCACCCAGGAATCCAAATGCTAAGGACTGAAATAAAGTTTAGAGCAGAGGCAGTATACATAGATTAAAATAGACACTCATTATAAGTAAGTTGGCTGGGTGGGACCTTTATACCGGGTATGATCACAGTCTGGATTTATTTCTTGACTCTTTGTTGCAGGTAAGATAAACCCCAGTATTCCCAAATGCACTTTTTCACAGCAGTTATAAAAACATCATTTTCATACACACAGCCCATCACTGATTTAGTGTTTCTGACAGATAGCTCTACTCACTGTGATAGCTACTCACTTACTTCCTCAGTCTCTTATTTGCTTGACTCTTTACAGAGAGAGGCATTACTCTTAGTTCTCAGAAGCAAAGCTCAGAAAGATTAGCTTCAACTAGCTAACCGGATCATGATCGTCTAGCTCTGTCTCCTTTTCAAATAAATGTAAAAACTTTTGCTTTATTTGGAAGCTTAGCTTCTATTCAAAGGTAAGCATCCTTATCTTCCTTTGTCTTCACCCTAATAAAGCAGGTTCCTTTCTCAACCCCAAAGACTCCTACAAGACCAGAGTAAGAAAAGCCTCCACTCTACGCCCTTTCATTTGTTTCTAGAAAATACAGCTGCACAAAACAATCCCATTTAGAAAAGTAACCAGCCATGCGTATACTAGAATCATTTTTTTTTAAATAGTAAAGCAATGTTCATTAGTCAATATTCTTGATGCTGAAATGCTAATTTTAAAGTTATTGACATAGGATTTTCATTATTTCCCAAATACATAAATAGTAGCATAGTTCCTGTCAAACTACAATTTTCCCAAAAATCGGTTCAGATGTATCACTGTCTTATTCAAAAGAATTACTTTCCATAATATTACATATTATTTAAAGGTATATATTTCCTGCGATGAAAGTAGTACTTTTTAGAGGGAAGAATATTAAAATTTCCTCATTTTAAAAGGCAAGAGCGTTAAGGAGACTGCAGCAGGAAGAGATGCTCATAGTTCTGAAATACACACCAGAATAACTAATGGCATTATAAACCCCCTGGCTTTGAAGAATTTAAGAATAATTTGTGAATGGCATGACATTTAAAAGTGGGATTAGCAAGTCTTATTACCGAACTAACCTCTTACTCTTACATAAAGAATTAAATATTTGCTCTGAATTTAGAATCAAAAATCGAAACTTTCAAGGCTCCTCAAGAACTTCACGTATTAAGAAATCCAAGTCAGAAGTTTTGGGTACTAAAAGTGTACACTTGGAACACACAAGATAAGATTACTGAGCTATGTATAAAATAGGTTTTAACATTACAATTTATATAAAAAATATATTGTGATAATACAACTATTCCAAATTCTAAAGTCTGTCCAGAATTCTAGAAAGGCTATGACTATTTCTTTCAAGGAGGTATGGGGTGTTTTAAGACAGAAGAAATCAAATCAATTGTTAGGCTGTAATACTTCTTTAAGGGGTCCTTTTTTTAAGGTTTCCAAATGTGCCAGCTTTGTTTTCTTTCTCTCTCTCTCTCTCTCTCTCTCTCTCTCTCTCTCTCTCTCTCTCTCTCTCTCTCTCCCTCTCTCCCTCTCTCCCTCTCTTTCTTTTCTTCTCATTTCTTTTCATCTGACAACAGAAGAGCAAGGTAATGCCTCCACATATTGCTACTTCTAGTAAAAAGACCAACCAGTGGATTCTGCCAGAGTCTACAAATGTTTGATAAATACATTGCCAGAAGATAAGAAGTAAGCGTATTATTAGGGGAGAGCTTCAGCCTCTGGTAGCCCAGCTGCCTGGAGCCCTGGAAAAAGTGCCAGGCTACTTCTCGGAATTTCATTTCCAATACAGATACTCCAAAGTACTAAGAACTTTTCTCTAGCTTTGAATCACAAGGACCTCAGAAAACAATTGCACTCGCTCTATTATTACCCGATGAAATGGCTTACTATCGTTTCTCCATGATAATAATTACCAAGTTAACCTCTACTACTGACTTACAGGAGAGGCAGCAGGGATGGAATCTGGACTGCATTTAGTAAGGGGTTCAGCAAAGGTCAGGCATCATTCACCCCAACCTGAAATATCTGAAGCCCCTCTCATCAGCTGTAAAACATGATAGTGACCTGAAGCGAGCAGCAAGCTCATCCATATGTATTTTTTTTTCTTAATGCCTTGGTCAGGGTATGTTTTGTTTGCTTTCAGTCTCATCCAGAGTTTCCAGATCAAGTTTCAGCCGAGATCACCACTCCTCTCAGCATCCTCAGCCCTAGTTCCTTCACTCCTTGGCAACTTAACAGTCTGGCACTTGGGGAAGCTTCCTCTCCACATTCCGGGCAAATGCTGACATCCAGCTCTCCCGGAAGTTCCACTGGAGCCCTCCAGATACCTTCCCAGAGAACCAGAGGTTGTGTCTCTAACTGGGTAGCACCCCTAGAGAGCGAGGTCAACTGCACTCCTTGCCCCCACGGGCTCCCCGGGAACCCAGAGAGTCCAGAGTTCCTGAAACCCTGCCCCGCTGCCAGGTGGGAGGCACCGCCAAAGTTCCCACCTGAGCCTGCAGCCAAGGGTGGCAGACGCGAGGGAGGGGCGGGGACCCGAGGCCGGAACCGGGACTCCAGAGCTCCGAGAGTCTGCGAGCTGGGATGCTCCACCGCCAGTAGGACTGGCCAACTCGCAGCCGCCCCTCGGAGCGGCGACTGGGAGAGGGAGCCGCGCTTCCCTGCTCGCTCCCCGCTCGCCCGCCCGCTCGCTCGCCCGCCCGAAGCCTGGGCGCTAGGACCCCCGAAAGGAAGGAGGGCGCACGGCGCCGCACTTACCGCGCTCTGCTCGCCCGCGCCGCCCGCTCGCCCGCTCGCTCCCCGGCCACCGCCGCCGCGTCCGCCCCTGCGCTCGCCCGGCCAAATTCAAAGGCGCCGGGCGCGGGGGAGGGGGCTCGGGGATGGGAAGGGAGGGAGGGGGAGATGCAAGTGTTACAACTTCCTCCGCTGCCCACGGCCCGGCGGCCCGGGGACGCGGCGAGGGGAGGGAAGCGCGCGGGCGCCAATGAGTTCACTTTCTTTTTCTCCCCCGCGCGCTCCCCCTCGCGCTTCCCGCCCGGCCCCTCCAACCTCCTCCACCGGCCAGAATCCCCGTTTCTCGGTCCGGGGAGTGGGAGGATGGAGAAGGCGAGGGAGGAAGGAGAGAAGGGAAAGGTGAGCAGGCGAGCAGGGCGCTGTGCCAGGAAGCAGCATCCAGGACCGTAATTGTGGGCAAGGGCGGGGGACGTTCTGGGCGAGTGTGCCCGAGACCAGGCGCGTACACGTGTGTGTGTGAGTGTGTGTGTGTGTGTGTGCGTGTATGTGTAAGAGAGAGGAGCGGAGCCTACCATGCGCTTCCCTGGTGCGGATCGCGGGAGAGCCCAATCACAGGGCGAGCTGGACCTGGCTGTGATCATTTATAATCCTTGACTCCTCCGCTCCGCCACTTGTCAAGATGACAGGTACTTTATTTCTTCTTCTTTATTCAAAAAATGAGATTCCCGGTTTTCTGCTTTTTTCGCTGTCAAATGGGATTTGCCGGACTGAACCACGTCCACACCGCCGCCCCTCCCTCCATCCCTCCTCCCAGCCACGCCGGGTACGAGGAAAGCACCGAGGCTCCCATGCTGTGACCAATCAGTGTATCTACTACTCTCGCCGTGATTTAGGGGTCATCCATGAATAACACTTCATGCTGATGAATGGCTCTTGCCGGCTTTCGGCTCTGATGAGGGGTCTGCTGGCCGCTGATTGCAAACACTAATGAACTTACAGCGCCATTTGAAATTCACACGCACCAACAAAGTGAGGGGGTACGTTCGTGGGAGTCTGTCCTTTTCTTCTCTGGGTGACCGGGAGGAAGACCTGGGGGAAGAGGCGGGTAATTGCCTTGGATTTAAGTGGAAACACTTCTCCGTGTAATCAAACCTCTAACCTTCTTAGAAAACTACTTTTCTTGATCTTCTATAGGGTGGGCATTTCGGGTCAGCTGAGTCACCCGAGGAGGTGGGAGTCCAAGACACTGCCTGGGAAGATGGATTCCTAGACAGAAGGGTGTAATTAAGGATTGCCACCCCTGTTAGGCAGCCCGCCCTTGACAGAGCCTCTGAAAATGACCTGCGTCTTTCCTTCCAGAAGTGTCCTCTTGTCGGAGACCGAAAAGCGCAAATGACCTTCGGACTCCGGCACGGGAGGGCTGCACTGAACACTTAGACTTCCTCACAGACATCAGCTCTGCCCTGTTTAGAACAAGTGTCCGCCCCCAGGTTCAAGTAGCTGGACCTCCAACCAGTACCCATGGTCAGGGGCACATTCAACAAACCTAAAGCCCACCACCAGCACCTCCATCTCCAGTCTGTTTCTCCTTTTTTTTTCCCCCTCAGATAAGCAGCACAACACTGCCCCTGCCACACTTGGTTTGCTGTGAGAGCCGAAAAACTTTACCGCCCTCCAGGACACTGCCACTTTGTAAGTTACAGCCAAAACGCCGGGAACCTCCAGCCCCGGCCCCGCCCCCACCCTCACCCCTAGCTGCAGAAAGCCCACCTGGGGAGCCCCCCCTTTTTTTTTCTCTGACCAAAGCTCCACTTTTCAAACATCCAAGCCTAGGACTTTACAGAATCGCGCTCTGGTCCCTGCCTCCTGCTACCTCCAGGCTCCTTTCTGTCCGCGTGAGGCATTGGGTTCTGCTCCTTGGATCATTGCACCAATGAGAGTATAGCTCCTTGAGGATCGCCCAGACGTTCCCTGAGACCAGCCTGGAGCCACCAGGCCTGTCCTGAGCTACTGCAAGCAGCTGGTAGAGGGAACAGACTCCAGCCGAGAGCCCTTGAGCCCCACCTTCACTGCTAATTTCAGAGCAGAGGACTCCACTAGTCCTCACTTGTCTTGGCCGGAATTGAAGATATTTGTATTTCTAACTATATTCAAAAGAACAAATCTAGCAGTCAGGCAAACATGGAAAAGCCTGGACTTTTCCAATATCTCCCCCCCGCCAAAGTTTAGCGTGGAATTGACAAAGGAGTCAAAGAACTTGAATTATTGTATCCATGCCCATGGCTCGAGTTCCCAAAGAGGCTAAGCCACTGAGTGCACCTCTGGGCTTTGCAAAGTCTTGGCAATAAGTGAATTGCCAAGACCCGGCTCCACCAGCATTAATGACTCAAAGATCCACCTGCACATCTTTCCGGGAACAATCTAGAGTTGCCTTAGGATGGTACAGCCTCTTTCCTGCCACATGAATTTCACACTTTGAGAAGACTAAGGCAGCAGACTCTACAGATGAATTACACCTTCCTCTCTTCATTATTGTAAGAAGTCTGTCAATTATCAATGTATGGCCCCAGATATCACTAGAAAATCAAGTAAACTCCCCCAAATTAGCACCCTTGACCCGATCATAAGCAAAATCTGAGGACATTTTATAAATTACCTTGTAGCTCAGCTCCCACAAAAAAAAATTCATGAGTGTAACTTATAATTGTCCAAGAAGCAAAACCCCTTTCTTGCTCTTTCCTGTGCTGATGTCTAGAGTACACAATAGAGACACATTACCCCAACCCCAAAGATGCCGAAACAGAATAGTTGTGTGCAGGGGGAGATGGGGAAGACCACTGTTTACTTCAGCCCTTCTTCCCTAGAACCCTCAGTATGGCTAACACTGTTGATAGATGAAGAAAGGAATTACGGAAGTCATACAAATGTAGAAATGGTGGTAAATCTTGCAGCCCACTTTCCAGTTAAATGATATTCAACGTTTTTCACTAAATATCCCTGAAACTTCACACTAGTGGATACACTACACACACACACACACACACACACACACACACACACACACACATATCACTATAAGCTCTCTTTGCCTAGTGCCAGACTTTCCTGGTGGATGAAGCATGCAGGTGTCTGGTCAGCATTTGTCAGCCTCTGCAAGGCTCAGCCTGTATGTAAGGCAAGGCAGTCAGGATATGTGTATTCAGTTTGACTCCTGCTCTCCTCTCCTCTCCTCTCCTCTCC